CACACAGACACAGACACAGACACAGACACAGACACAGACACAGACACACACACACACACTCAAACACACACACACAGACAGACAATGAGCTGAAGCCATGATAATCCGAGCACATTCAGGGTTTTCCTGCGTTTCGGTGGTCAGCAAAGTGAAAGAAATAAATCTTTGCAATGTTTTCTGTAGTTTCTGTAGTGTTTGGGGAAATGCAAGAAGTTCAGAAGAGCAGAAGTGCCACGCAAACAAAAATCACAGCTATTGCGTGTGCATGAACATGTCTGTAAGAGACTGCCGAAGAGCATTTCTGACGCAGGAAAACATCTGCTGGGAACACATGAGAGATTTTACCGGCTGTAGTCGTTCTGACGGTCGTCGTCACAACAGTTGTTGTTCTGGCGACTTCAAACAAAATTAGAGACAAAAAAACACATTTTAAGTTTCGGGATTCTGGTCAATATTCCGGCAGGACTGGGCTTAATGAACGATCACGTGACGTCAGACCTGTGGTCTCACTGATCACCACCAGATTGCTCTCAGACTCGTCTCTGTAGATCGCAGACAGAGAAACTTCATATTCAGTCAAAGGCTTCAGACCCGTGATGACAAACCAGTTGGAGTTATCATTGATGAGAACCTGCAGACGAACACAGAGTCATCAGACGGACTGATGCAGACAACAGTGATGAGATCGCTGGTGTTTCGTTTTCAGCAAGACAAACGCAGAGACAGACAGGTGTGCACCTCTTTAGTCTCTCCTCCTGCTGCGGGTCTCCAGGTGAGTCTGTAGAAGGAGACGTCAGAAGCGGCGTCTTGCCACATCACTCTGAAGCTATCGGTGGACACGTCACTGCTGCGGAGGTTCAGCGGCAGAGGAACCTCACCTACAACACACACACACACACACACACACACATTAAAAAAAGAAATATGATTTCAATTTACAACTTGATTGTATGTTTTTTTTTTGCATTTCAATTATATTTGAACTTTAATGTTATTTTTAATATATTAATGCTATGCGTGTCCTCACTGGTGGTGAAGCTGTCCGTCAGCGGTTCTGCTTGTCCCTCGTCATACAGGGCAAAGATGGCGACGGTGTACTCCGTCAGAGACGTCAGGTTACGCAGCAACAGTGTGGTGACCGGACCCACTTCCACCTGAGGTCACCAAAGGGTCAAAGGTCAGAGACATGTCAAAACAATTCAGTTCACAGTGGCCGGATGCGCTCTCACCTTATTGGTCTCCACAGCGTCCGTCTTCACATAAACAATACGGTAACCTTTGACCTTACGAGACGCCGTGTCCCACGAGAGTTTAGCAGAGCTGTGATTGACGTCTGAGATGCGCAGATTACGAGCCGGAGTCAGACGGACTGAGAGCGAGAGAGTCAGACAGATTATATTATCAGCTCTTCTCTGGTGAAGGCTAGTATTTAGCACACACACGTGTTTCTCTGATGTGTTGCGTGTCTGGGGTTTGGACTCACGCGTGGTCTCCTGCGCGGTCATGGGGTCACTGGCTTCCTCTCCATACAGGGCATAAACAGTCACTGTGTATTCGGTCGCAGGAGTTAAACCTTCCAGTTCAACCTGAGTCACGGAGTCAGACACTTTAACCTGTAAACACACAAACACACACTCACTAGTTAAGGATACTCACAGATCTGAGAGCATCTACACTCATGCATGTTCCAGTCGGGTGTCATCGACTGATTCTAGTCCAAATCTTCACGCTGGACATTCGCATGCAGTGTGAGAGGACCTGTAGTGTGTGTGTGTGTGTATTCCACCTCCTTCTCGTCCGCAGGGTCGCCCTCCGTCAGAGGCGCGTACAGGATCATGTACCCAGAAGCCCCTTCTGCCTCCCGCCAGCGCGCACGCATGCTACTGTGAGTGATGTCATGCAGCTCCAGATTACTGACCGTCGGCAACGCCACTGACCGACAAACACAACAATCAACAAACCATACAGACACAAGAAGTACTGCAGGATTGACTTCTGCAGGAGAATAAAACAGATCAGACATATACAACTGATCATTTCAGCATAGATCAGATGAGTTTAACATATCAGACACATTAAACAGATCAGGTGAGTACTAATAGATCAGACACGCACAAATGATCAGTTCAAAACAAAATAACAGATCAGATGTGATAATAAATCAGATGTAATGAACAGATCAGACGTAATGAATAGAGACGATGTGATTTTAGATCAGAAGTGATTACAGTTAAGATGTGATAATAGATCAGTTGTAATGAATAGATCAGAAGTAATAAAAGATCTGATGAAATAATAGATAGGACGGTGTATTAATAGATCAAATGTAATGATCAGATCAGATGCACTCACAGGTGGTCTCGCTGCCTCTCAGAGCTTCACTGGCTGCGTTGCTGTAGATGGCGAACACAGTGATCTGATACTCCGTCAGAGAGTTCAGATACCTCAACACCACAGAGTTATCATTGCCGTTCACCACCACCTGCACAACACACCGCATTCACACACACGGATGCACAGCTGTGTCTTTCACTAGTTCTCCTAAACTAACATTCACAGAGGAAGATTCAAAATAATGGATCATGAGGCCTTTTCTATTATTGAGGCCAGCTAAAATGTCTTTAAAAGTGACATGCTTCACTACATTACAGAAGATCATAAGTATACACACACACACACACCTCTTCGGGTCTGGATTCACTGGATGAGTAATACACCACTCTGTACTTCTCCACCGGCCCTGCAGCATGGGTCCATGACACACGGAAGCTCCTGGCCATGACCTCAGAGGTCACAAGGTTACTGGGAGCGTCCAGTGACCTCGTGGAATATGGATCTGTCTCACCTGAAAACACACAGAAACTTTACATCATCTAAGCAGGATGGTATAAAAGCTTAAATACAAGCTGCTGTTAAATATTAAAGTTTCAGCTTTGTTAAAGGGGTCATATGATGTTGCTAAAAAGAACATTATTTGGTGTAATGAAAAGTATTTATGCGGTTTAAGGTTAAAAAAACACATTATTTTCCACATACTGTACATTATTGTTTCTCCTCTATGCCCCGCCTTTCTGAAACGCATCGATTTTTACAAAACTCATCGGTCTGAAAAGCGAGGTGTGCTCTGATTGGCTCGCTATCCAGTGCGTTGTGATTGGCTGAATTCCTCAAGCGTGAGACGGAAATGTTACGCCCCTCACCATACTGTGCTGCCCTGTCCGGCCGGAGCGACGAGACAAAAACATTAAAACCCATTATAAACGAGACATTTGTTGCATCCAGTGGGGACTTAATTATGGATTATAATGACTTAAACTGTCTTTTTACGCATTGCGTTGCGTTGCATCGTGCCGCGTAAACATAAAACCATGTCTGCATTTGTGATCGGAGAAATTACAAACAACAAGCGCTAGTCTACACTGCCCGAATTTGAATCATCAGTGGTAAATCTTTTAAAAATTAAAACGTCAGAACAGCCGGCATTGTAGTCTACTCTCCCAGGATCAGGAAACAGTCCTCCATAAAATGTGCTGCACACATCTGAATATTTGGGTTGAAGTGTTCTGGAACAGTGTTGTAAATACAACTTAACCACTGATTTCTAGTCGTGTCCTCTTTTGGAAGACCAAACAAAGTAGTTTCGCTTTCACAACGAAACACACAGCGTCTCCACGACATGGAGGCGGCAACAACAATACTACAGCGAGAATAAAAGTTACGCCTTCTTTCTTTGCGTGAACATTTGGGCGGCGTTATGCAAATCTTCCCACATAGTGAGGTAGACATGTGGGGGCGTGTTAGAACAAGGCGTTTTAGGTAGGCGTGGTTGACTCTTAACTTTTATAAAGAATATCTCTTTGGATTTTAGACTTTAGTCTTTGCAACTTTACAGATCTTCTTTATGCACAAAGAGCTTGTAACACTCCAAAGAGAAAAGAAAAATTTTAATTGCATCATATGACCCCTTTAACGGTTTCTCAATGGTCACTCTAGCAGTGAGGACACCACAACCCAAGCATAATTTTCAGTGGAAATGACAGTCACAGATGCTACCATTAGAGTGTGAGACTCAATCAGCCCAGAGCAAAGATGTCACAAAACTCCCAGAAACCCACCGCTGATCTCTCTGCTGAGTTCAGAGACACGCTCGCAGATGCTCCTGGTCAGTCCCTCCACGATGGAGCTCATCACGCTGAAATCAGCCGCTAGTCGTGTCCTCTTTTGGAAGACCAAACAAAGTAGTTTCGCTTTCACAACAAAACACACGGCGTCACACACGGCGGTTAGAGTGAGCGGAGGCCGGCAGGCTTGAGTGAGCGGAGGGTGGCGGATGAACGTCAGGTCTGGATCCAGATTCAGCTTTGAAGCTGTTCTCCAGAATATACGTCAGAGCAAGACCTGAAAACACACACACATGTACGAAAAAATGCATTACAGTGAGAATGAAGTCATATAAATCTAAGCTTTGTGTGTGTGTGTGTGTGTGTGTGTGTGTGTGTGTGTGTGTGAGTTTGAGTGAGTGTTTATATGAGTGCAAGTTTGTATAACTGAGTTTGTGTATATGAGTGTGAGTTTGTGTGAGTGTGAATTTGTGTAAGCGTCTGTATGAGCGAGTTTGTATGAATGTGTGTATGAGTGTGAGTGTGTATATGAGTGTGAGTTTGTGTGAGTGAGTTTGTGTATGAGTGTGAGTCTGTGAGTGTATATATGAGTGTCAGTGTGTATATGAGTGTGAGTTTGTGTGTGTGAGTGTGAGAGCATGTATAAGTGTGAGTTTGCGTGAGTGTGAGAGCGTGTATAAGTGTGAGTTTGCGTGAGTGTGAGTGCATGTATAAGTGTGAGTTTGTCTGAGTGCGTGTATGTGTGAGTGTGAGTTTGAATGAGTGTGTGTACGAGTGTGAGTTTGTGTGAGAGTGTGTATGAGTGTGAGTGTGTATATGAGTGTGAGTTTGTGGGAGTGTGAGAGTGTGTGTGAGTGTGAGTGAGTGTATGAGTGTGAGTTTGTGTGAGTGTGAGTTTGTGTATGAGTGTGAGTTTGTGTGAGTGTGTGTATGAGTGTGAGTTTGTGTGTGTTTGTGTGAGAGCATGTATAAGTGTGAGTTTGTGTGAGAGTGAATGTGTGTATGAGTGTGAGAGCGTGTATAAGTGTGAGTGTGTATATGAGTGTGAGTGTGTGTGAGTGTGAGTTTGTGTGATTGCGTGTGTGAGTGTGAGTGCGTGTATGAGTGTGAGTTTGTGTGATTGCGTGTGTGAGTGTGAGTGCGTGTATGAGTGTGAGTTTGTGTGATTGCGTGTGTGAGTGTGAGTGCGTGTATGAGTGTGAGTTTGTGTGATTGCGTGTGTGAGTGTGAGTGCGTGTATGAGTGTGAGTTTGTGTGATTGCGTGTGTGAGTGTGAGAGTGTGTGTGAGTGTGAGTGAGTGTATGAGTGTGAGTTTGTGTGAGTGTGAGTTTGTGTATGAGTGTGAGTTTGTGTGAGTGTGTGTATGAGTGTGAATTTGTGTGAGTGCGTGAATGAGTGTGAGTTTGTGAGTGTGTGTATGAGTGTGAGTTTGTGTGAGTGCGAGTTTGTGAGTGTGTGTGTATGAGTGTGAGTATGAGTGTGAGTGTGTATGAGTGTGAGTGTGTATGAGTGTGAGT